ACAGATAAGAAAGCCCATATTATTTTCATAATTCAGACGTAAATTCATAACCACAAATCACAATGAAATTATGTAATATAATAACATAATCCAACAATAAAACAATATCTGGTGGTACAACTTGTTAACAGTAATTGTATCGTGATTCGTGATGGCTTATGATGTTGTTCATTATTTTATGTCATGCTGTTTTTATCTCTTCTATAGTCAACATAACTCCATAGCCGTCTTATCACATCAACATTTACAATTAAATTTTGACTTAACTCAAATCAAATTTTAGTTGGTAATAACTTTACAAATATATTACATTGACCACAATACTATTTAAACTTAAAACTAAAAAAATACAACAAAACAACAATGAACAAAGTATCTTAATTTTAATATTTACAATTTGTTGCTTTAGAATTTTTAATGCTCAACACAGGATATTTAAATCAACTCTCCATTAGTGTTTCACTTTACAACAAAAACTATTAAACTGAGTTATTAGTATGTGACAAGACTTCGGACTTCGGACTTCGGAGTTAATTTAACTACCCCATTTCTATGTGTGATAGTAAAAAATAAATTAAACACAATTTAAATGTATAAGCCACTTATTAATATTATATAAATCAATACATTAATTATAACTATTTGAGGTTTATATAAAATAATGACAAATTGTTAATATTTATATTTTAATGATTGTGTAATAAAAGTACCTAATAATATTAATAAAATAATTATTCTTATCTCAATGTTTTCAATAATATTTAAATCAAATCATACGGTAATTATTATTGATATGAAGTTCAAAGAGTAAAAAAAAAAAATCAAAACAATAATTTGAACAGTTTAAATATTATATATTGCTATAATTTGTAGCGTCATAGAATGTTCAACATTTTTATAATAATATGATGATCCTCGAGCATACCTTTTTCCAGTTATTATCATGAGTATTAATATTTTCATATAACAGCATAAATTAGTTATTTCGAGATTAATATAAAACCACAACAGCGTTATGCAATTCATACTTCCTGTCACAACCACATCACGAGGGGTCCGGCGTTAACGGTCAGCCCAGCGATTCGGATTACGATTTACGAGAGTGTAGGGATTGAGGTAACACCGTTAGATATATCATATTATTATATATAATATAGAGGTGAATATCACTGAACACTGTATGTAGTCTTTAGGACAGGTGCATGTAGCACAATAGTATAATATCAAAACTTTGAGAATATAATAACAAATGACCTGGCGGAGACGTCTCCCTGTATCATCGTACAATAATTATAAATAAGAGAAGTTGAAATTTCAGACCAACCTAGAAGAACCTAACCTTACCTAAACTAAAGCATAACAGGTAAAGAAACTCCACTGAATGAACCGGACGCATATGGCGACCAGGTATGGCTTTTTTGGACGGTCATTATCTTAACCTGCTCTATGACACAGGTTACGTAAAACACTGAACATCAATGATCGGCTGCATCCTAGTTTGGTCCCAAATTAAAAACGCTCGTAACTTGCTTCAAAATTAAAATATCTAAAAAAAGCCTCTTTTAAACCAATTGTAGAGTTACTAGTTATAGTGTAGCAAAGCTCTGTCTAATCATTGACCATTCTGCGAGAACTATTGTCATCATTCAATTATTTGACAAGCATTTAAATTTTTTCACTAAAATGTAACTAACTTGTTCTTCATCATCTGCTTAGGTGGACTTTCATACCTTGGATCCCTAACTTCAAGTACACAAGTAAATGATTGTACAAAATATAATATAACCTATCAAGTGTAAAAAGGTTTACTTTGTACCTGTAAAACAATGATGTTTTATATTTAAATAACATAAAAGTTTCAATATTAAACTATGTAAATAACTTTTTAGATTCTAGCGGAGCGATGAATGTATTGGTTTTATAATTATGTGTGTGTTTTTTTTTTATTTTTTTTTGTGTCTGTCATCACGTTTTAGGACAGTAAAAGTGCTTGGATTTTCTTCATCAGTAGCTTTTCTGATAGGAAAGTTAATCTAGTTGTTACTTTGGGGGGTCAAAAGTATAAATTTCCCAGTAGTTTTCAAAGGGCCGGGGAAAACAACATAAAAATTAAGGAAAAACGGGGATTTTTACGCAAAATTGGTTTTCCAAAAAATCGATTTTGGTTATTGGTGTAACTCTAAAATAAATGAACGTATATACATGAAATTTTCACTGGTTGTTTATATTTGCATTTTCTATACACGATAACATTTTCAAAATATTTTGATTTATTTTGAACTGTTTAGGGACATTTTCATTTTCCATTTTTTTTTAGTTTTTTTTCTAAAAATATCAATAAAATTTTATTTGTTAGTTGCAAAAGCTTGAAAATTTAATAGAAGGCTCCTAAAATATTTTTTCAAAGGCAGATGAAAAATATTAAAAATCCTTAGTCACAATTTTTTTTTATAAGCATTTAAAGTTCAAAAATTGACAAAATATGGAATAATCACGAAAATTAGCAAATTATTTTGAGTTAAGAATTCGTAAAAATTTTCCTTTTTAAATCTAAGATTTGAAAATGAAACACAAGATTCCTTATAAGATTATCTACCTTTATCAATAAAAAAATCTCTACTGGACAGTCAAATTAAATTTTTATGAGCGTTTGAAATTCAAATTTTTACAACATTGGATATTCACTCGATTACTCATGTAGCGATTTCCTTATTTGTTATTATTTGTTGTTATTATTCAAAAACGAACAACTGTAGATACATGAAAATTTCACTGAATGTTTAAATTAGCATTTTCTATACACCATACAATTTTGAAAATATTTTGACTCTTTTTGAGCTGTTTATGGACATTTACAGCTTTCAATTTTTTTTAGTTTTTTTTTTCTATAAATATCAATAAAGTTTTATCTGTTGGGCCAAAAAGTGTAAAAATTTAATACAAGGCTCCTGATATATTGTTACAATAGCAGTTGAAAAATATTAAAAATACATAGGCACAGTTTTTTTTTATAAGCATTTAAAGATCAAATTTTGACAAAATTTAGCAAAATCTCGAAAATTATCAATCATTGTAATTAATAAATTATAAAATGTTCAGTTTTTATAGCTAAGGATTACAAATTCAACACAAAGGTTCTCATAAATAGTTCATACTATAACCAAAAAATCTAAAAAATATATGAACACAGTTATTTTTTACAGACATTTTAAATTCAAATTTGGACGAAATTACATAATAAAAAACCTAGAATAACTATTTTAGTTATTTTGTTGTGATTGTATAATATTATTCGTGGGTACTTGAAACTTCTAAAGTGTACCTACTATTATATATCTATGATAGTATCACGGTTTTTGTTGATGTATAATTCGTTATATATAAGTATCTAATGGATATTGTGATATGATTAATTTGGAATTTATTATAGGTACCTATTATAGGTCATTTTTTGTTTAATACCATAGATATGTATATAATATGTCTTATACATAAACTGACATACCGTCACCGCTCAGAATCGTTTTTCTTATACAATTATATTATTTCATTGAATTCAAATTTAGTACCATCCATTAAAATACCCACTTGTAACCTACTACCTATTTTGAACTGTCGGTATTTTGAACTGTCGGGATTTTGGTTTCGGGTTTTTGACCATTCGGGATTATCATTGTCGGGATTTTGAACGCCTCCCGTTTCAAATCCTATAGATTAGTGATACAGTCCTTTACAATCAGTGACTATTGGTTGTGAAATTAAATCAAAAATTGACGCAAACTGTAATTTAAGAACCTATCTTCACATTAATTTTGTTCTGTGGACTTTTGTCAACAATTATTAACAATTAAACGATTCAATAAATGAAAATGACATAGATTTAAAACAAAATACTGCTATTATAAACTGCTACAAACATCGCCTGATAACAAGTGTTGATGGAGAACGTGTGTTTCACAATTAAAAGACATATTAAGTGACAGAAGACATAATTTTACAGAAAAAAACTTAGAAATGTAAATGATAATACATTTTGATCAAATATAGTAAATCAGTTTAAATATTATATTTAAAATTTTAAAATGTTTTATATTTTTATTTAAATTAAATTAAATTGTTTTTTTTTTAAAATAGTACTAAATAGTTGTTGATGCCAACTAATAAATAATATTACAAAAATAAATAGCAATAAAAATAAAATTTAAGTACCTACCTAGGTATTTGTTACATAATTACTAAATTTGTTTTTGCCAGTTGTTGAGGTGTTAGGTGCACAAAAAATCCAATATTTAATAATAATAATACTTAGACTTTAATAAATAATAATGTAAGGTAGATAAATTGCACGTTTTAATCTCTATAAATTATATCTTATTAAGAATGAATGACTACAACATTCTAGTTATTATATTATTATAAAACCCCTATTCTTGCTTCATTGTATTGATAAACCAAGAGACCTACTAGATAGCTTTTTATTTTAAAATATTTAAACTTAAGACAAGATTTTAGTTATACCAACCTTTATTATATTAATCGTGGTGCAGTATTTTATATTTGCATTATTGTTTATTAGTATTTATCATTATTTATCATTATGTTGCTCATCAAAGATTGGTGGTTATAATATTTAAGGTAAACATTTAAAATCAAATCAATGCAAATTCAACAAAAAAATGTATGATGAATACAAATAGGTCCCATTAAATGTTATAATTGAGGATTTCTTAAATATTCCAAAAGACAGTTTCAAAACGATTAGTTCTGTTCTTAATCTAATTAATAATATGGTGTGAAAAAAAAAACATTTGGTTTGAGAAAACAGTTTACATATTATTGAAAAAATGGCAGAATTAAATACAAGTGATAAACGTCAGAAGTTGTCAATTAAAATATTTATGTTTTCCATAGCAATAATATGAACTATATCTTCTTCTAATAATCAAACATCCCTCGTCAGTCGACATTTTACTGATAAGTTAATAAATAACATAACTAGATTAGGCGGGAAAGTGATCAAAATCTTTGTTGACTTGAACCATCGGTACATGTTCTTCGTCGATATTGGGTTCCAAGCTGCTATAGGTACACAACTGAATCTCCTTCAACTTCCATCCCCAATTCATTTTCTGTACAGCATGTAAACTATCTGCCTCATAGTGTTGTCTCAGTAACAAATCAATCTTTAGTAACCATAACACATTTTAATATTATTTTTTTTAGATAGTTATAATTTATGAAATTGTTACCTTAATCTTTTCCCATTTATCATCTATTTCTTGTAGCCATGACAAAAAAATACGACCATTGTCACCGGAATGTACATGTTCATTCTTATATTCTTCTTGCTTATGTTTCATAATTTTATATACATCATTGTCCTTGAGTACAGTACATACAGAAAATGGTAAAGGCTGATTAGCTAAGACACGAGCTGCGCGTCCATGAACTCTCAGTATCTCTTGTTCAACACTCAGCACCAATTTTTCTTTTTCTACTAAGTGCTAAACAAATTATAAAATTATGGTAGTTATAATATTATATTTATTGTCATTTTTTTTCTAAAGCTCGACTGAAAACAAACCTTTACACGAAGATTTTGTCTCTCTTTTTCTTGTTCAACAAACAGACTTTTTAAATGCTTGTGTAAATTAGTTGGCGTAGGAGTTTGTGTATGTACCACACGGTTTTTATAGTTGGAATCCAAAATATACGTACGCCTGTTCATAAGATAGTCTTCAAAGCCAAATGGTGGTTTCGGTTGCACAGGAAACATACTCATATGTTTCTCATGAATCTACAAAACATAAATAAATAACAATAATAACATACACAAATAAAAACAACAATTTTGTCAAATATATTATTATTTAATCAATTTACTTGTTTTCTAATGTTTAAAAACATTTGATAGTAATTGGTAAATGGAGTAGGTTCACTGGTTGTGCTGGACTGATTAATTTCTACAGCAGTAACATTGGTGGCGGATGAATTATCACTAGTCATAGATTCAATACTGCTAACTTTTAAACGTTTTTTCGGATGTAGTTTTATGCCTGACGGTTCAGCAGTTATAGTAGATGCAGACGTTATAGTCGTAGGCGACTCAGCAAAAGCAGTTGTTTCTGGTATTTCTCCAGTCGCAGGTTCACTGGTTGTGCTGGACTGATTAATTTCTACAGCAGTAACATTGGTGGCGGATGAATTATCACTAGTCATAGATTCAATACTGCTAACTTTTAAACGTTTTTTCGGATGTAGTTCTATGCCTGACGGTTCAGCAGTTATAGTAGATGCAGACGTTATAGTCGTAGGCGACTCAGCAAAAGCAGTTGTTTCTGGTATTTCTCCAGTCGCAGGTTCACTGGTTGTGCTGGACTGATTAATTTCTACAGCAGTAACATTGGTGGTGGATGAATTATCACTAGTCATAGATTCAATACTGCTAACTCTTAAACGTTTTTTCGGATGTAGTTCTATGCCTGACGGTTCAGCAGTTATAGTAGATGCAGACGTTATAGTCGTAGGCGACTCAGCAAAAGCAGTTGTTTCTAGTATTTCTCCAGTCGCATAAATTTTTCTATCAGTGAAAAAAATGTGTTCTATAATTTTGTGTGTATGCCAAAAAAAATATATTGTTTTTTTTTTATAATACTTACGTATCATTCGTCATAATGGGGTTCTGTTCAAAAATTATTTTCTTGTATTTATTATCTGTCGAACAAACAAACTCTTAAATTAATTATTACCTATCAGCATTGGTAAGTCTTGTGTCACTCCAGATGATGCATGTGGTTGTTTATCACTTTTCACAGTATCTAAAATAAAAATTAGCAAAATTATCATACCTTTTTTTTAATAATTATTATTATTTAATACAATACACAATATATTATGTCATATTCTCCTCAGGTTAGGACTTAGGAGGTATAATACTCCAAAAATTAAAAACCAATATTTCCAATAAGTTAGGGTATTAACCTGTTTAATATTCATTCTACAGATTGAATAATGAAATACTGAATCAAGCCATTTGTTATAACATACGTATAGGCAATTTACAAGAAGCTAATGATATACTGAGACCAATAAAATACTTACATAAATAATAATTATACCACAAAATGATACATTTATTATATAGACACAGCAATTCTAGACAAAAACTTTTAAATTGTATACTTATAGGAGTTACTAACTAGACGTTTAAAAATAAATTAAATATAAAAATAACAGGTAACTAAAAAATAGAATAAAAAATATGTAGGAAATGGGTACCTTCCGCTCTCGTATGCAGTACTTCTCTTAAGTAGTCACTGTAGTGGTTGTGTCAAATTTGAGTTTGATGATATGAAATGTTTATATACGAAAAATGGTTTTAAGAGAAGACAGTCTGCCTATAGGTACTACTAAATATATTTTATGATTTTATTGATATTAAACTATTAAAGTAATTTATTTTACTATTAGACATTAGTGATACAGTAGTCAGTAGGTTTAAATAATTTTTGGCTAAAAAATTGCATTTAAAATTGTCATATAATAATATTCCTTTAAAAGATTCATGTAGCAACAAATTATATTTATTATATTTTTAAATTACAACAAAATAACGAAAATCGTTATACATTCTTTAAATATCTTATTTCATCCAAATTTGAACTTAAAATATCTATTTAAAAAACTATGTTTTTGTATTTTTTAGACTGTTTCATGTTTGGTTACAGTATGAAATACTTTAATATGAGAAACCTTGAAATACCTACATTTGAAGGTTGTTGACAATAAATGTTTATTATAATTTCTAAAACAAAAACTAAAAATAATAAAAATTAAAATATCTTTAAGTAACGAAAAAAAAAAAATATTCTGAAACTTTTATCATATTGTATACAAAAATTATAAAATAAGCATTATGTGAAAATAAAAATTTCGTTTTATGAGATTAAGTTCTTAGTTCACGGGTGAATATCCTATGCCAACAAAATTTAATCTTCATACAATCATAAAAAATTAATTTCAATTTCCAGGAAACTATTCTTTTTTCATCAATAGCAGAAAAGGGTTGAAATTGGTAAAAAAAAAGGTTTATATCTTTTTAGGTAAGCAGAAAGGTTGCAGATATTAATATGTTTACTTATGAATTGTTGAAAGGTCAATTTTTTTCCCACAATTGCTTTCTATGGTTGAATTTAATAAAACTTATCACTGTTGAAGGAAATCAAACTTGTTTCATTTTTCATTTAAAAAACAATAATTATAGTTCCACTTCTTTTGTCCCTAGAGCATTAACATTAGAAATCATATTATGGATAATGTGGACTTTTTCTTTATGTAACGTAATGTTTTTAATCAAAATGTAGCATTAAACTCAATTGCAAATGGAGTATTATTAATATATTTTATATCAGCTGTTATTTTAATTATTTATTTGTCATAAATTTATTTTAATTACCTTCTCTTAAAGTATGTTACGTAAATAGTTAAACCCTAATATTGTTAACTAATACTTACTGTTCCTTCAAAAGAGTCATTACCAATTTACCATAAATAAATAAATAAACAAAAAAGGTAAATACAAGATTGACAAAATGTAATTATATAATCAAGGAAATTTGAATTTTTATAGTTAAGAACTGGAAATTTATAATAAGGTTCTTCATAAGTTGTTCATACTTTAACAATAACATTTATACATAAAAAAAAACAGTTATTTTTTTATAGATATTTTAAATTCAAATTTAGACAAATTTAGATACCTATTTATACAAATCTTAGTTATTTTGCTACAAATTAAAAATATAATTTCTGAATACTTGAAGATAATAATCTTACTTTCAAATGTTCACTTACATATTATATTGGTTTTTGATAATCAAAAATAAAATGTAACAAAACAAAATTATCAACCATTTATTTGAATATTTATTTATTATAGACATCATTAAGAGCCATTTATTGTTTAATTTATATTCCAGTACCTGCCTATATATTTTATTATTCAGTATAAAATAAAGTAAGTTGCACAAAATTCTTAGGATACTTAATATATATGACTATGCAATTTTAAAACAGTATTTAATAATATTACAAAATTAGTTTTCTTACCTACAGTTAAATACAATTATTTAAGATAAAATTGTACTTACAGCAGAACCTTGATAAGTTAAAAACCTTAATAAATCAAAATGAATGCCATTCCCTTGCTAATTTAACCTAAGTAATTCAAAAATATTCATTGCCCTTGATTTTTCTTATCGAGGATCCATTATACTACAATAACGAGAATGGCTGAGAATTGAAAATTTAAGACAAAGTTCAGCGTATATGTATAATGTATATTATATAGGTTCTTAAAATTATTAACTGAAAACCTACGTAAAGTTGATAAAAATAAAAATAATTTTTAGAAACACCTTCATCTTTTTATTCATGATAATATGTGCTAAATAATTCACTAAACGTTAAGCTCGACGTTTCGTTTTTTTTTTTTTTTTTGTAGAGTAATACATACTTATACTACCAAGTTATAAATATTTTTAAATGCAATTAATTGGATCACGAGGAAATTCTGTACTCTCCTAAGTCATAATATTATCCTTCTAGTAATGGACATCACATGATTGTGAAAAAAAAACATTTAAATAGTATTAGTAATTTTATGAACAGTACTATGATATTATACATATAGTAGGCCCTATATGGATATATTGGATATACTAGGTACTATACAAATTATTATGAAATTATAATACATACCTACCTATATGTGATTTTTATAATTATTTTGCTAAGTAACATTTTTTTTTTTTTTAAATTTAATATTCATATTATGTTAATTAAGTCCGAGTTTAAACTGAAAACCTACGCAAAGTTGATAAAAATAAAAATAATTTTTAGAAAAACCTTCATCTTCTTATTCATATGTGCTAAATAATTCACTGAACGTTATGCTCGACGTTTTGTTTTTTTTTTTTTGTAGAGTAATACATACTTATACTATCCGTGGATAGTAATCGACAGGCTAGCAAAATATATTAGGTAGGCATGCCAATTAATCGCTAATCTACTAGAAATATAGCTTAAAAAAATCTATATTATACGACTCTATAAACGTGTCGTCCAGTAGACATTTCGATGAAAATACCTCTATTCAAACTTTTTGTTACCAGTTTTGATTGCAAAGCTTGAACAAATTGTTTTTATTTAGGCAACCAATCACACTTGTTGAACGTTTGCAGGCATTTTTAAAATGAGACCGCCAAGTACCTCATGCGAAAAAACTTTCAATGAGCAATCGGCACACAGTTTAAATTAGGTATTCATTATCATTAGGTATCGTAACACTCAAGAATCGAAAGTGAGAAGGCATACAAATATGGAGATAAGATTGAAAAAAAAAATATAATTTTTAACCAAAGATACATAGGTAAATGTATTGACCCCGACAATCATTTATTAATGTAATTATGAGAAGTTATGAGCTAAAATTACAAATATCAATAATTTCCGTCTTATGACATCGCCGGACAACTATCAACCAATATTGGTTTTATTTGTATAATTGATTAAGTTGATTAGGCAATTTTATTAAATTAATATTTAGATAACATTTTTAGATTACATTAGTAGGTAATTAAAACATTATTATTCGAGTAAAAAATTATTTAAAATTATTTAAAATTGTTCTATTTAAATTTCAGACTTGAGAATGTAATACAAAATTCCTCATAATATTATTATGTTTGTCAATTATAATTGTAAAAAAAAAATGTCTACCAGAACGTAAATTAAACTTTTATGAGCGTTCGAAGTTCAAATTCTTACAATATTAGATATTCAATCGATTTGTAATGTAGCGATTTTCTTCTTTATTTGTAATTTAAAAACCAATAATTGTAGATAGGTACTTTAAGTTTACACCATCTGTTTATTTTATCAATCCCTATACTATATACCATTTTCAAAATATTTTGAGACTCGTTTTGAGTTGGTTACAGACAGTTTAAATTTTAAATTTGTTTAGTTTTTTTCTACAAATGTCAATACAATTTTATTTGTTGGGTCAAAAAGCGTTAAATATAATACAAGGCTCCAGATATATCGTTACAATAGCAGTTTAAAAATATTAAAAATAAAAATGATTTTATAGTTAAAAATTTATAAAATATTCCAGTTTTATAGCTAAGAATTGAAAATTTAAGACAAAGTTCAGCGTATATACTATATAGGTTATTAAAATTATTATGTTATATATACTTTATTCACAATAATATCATAAAATATACTTAGTACCTAATATCATAGGCTGGCTGACCGTCTTCGCTCAGAATGGTTTTTCTTATACAATGATATTGTATCATTGAATCCAAATTTAGCACTATCCATTACAGTGACCCACTTGTAACCTACTGTACAGCAGAACAGAACGTTGCCCACTTTCCCGATTTTTTTAATTTTATCATTTTCAAACATGTATATTATAACAATTCATACAAATTGCATAGGTACCTAATAATTGGTAAAGTAGCTGGTAGGTGTAAATACCTAGCTTTTTGAGAATTTTTACTACAAGATTTTCAGTTTTATTGTTTAGTGATCTAAGATTTTCTAATCATACGCATGGATGAATTATTTAAGACGAATCTTAAAGATTTTAACGTAAATAAGCATATGAAATATTAATTCCATTTTTTTTACGTATTAATTGTAATAATATAAAACTCAGATTTAAGTAATTTAATCTAAAAATATGAGATTTAACTAAAATTAATCCAAGGATCAATTTTATATTAATGTATTGAATAGTTTCAGATAAAACTAGGGGCTTGACTCGAATAAGTACA